AGAGCCTTCTCTAACTATTTGCCAGGGAAGTGCATTTATCATGAGTCCCTTTGTTCCTTCAACTAAGGCTCTAAAAAGTAGAGTCACTAGTTCTATTTGTTACCATCTGACACTGAGGTCCCCTCTACATATTACAGGTATCGCACAATAAATTGGTTAATTGCACAATTACCTTAAGATGGCTACATGTGCAAAGTACTTCTTACCAGGGATCCGGGTATTCCATTTCCCACAGAAAAATGGAGTAAACTGTGGATTTTTGCCTTTTACAAGAGGCAAACATGGATTTCTCATTTTGCCAGAGAAACCCGCAGATTTTGCCATTTTGCAATGAGCTCCCTGCCGGCTGGTAGAGTACCAGCCTGCTGGGAGGGAGTGGGAGGAAGGTAGAAAGACAGGTGGTGCACAGCAGCTCCAACAGGTAAGTGGGAGGGAGTGGGGAGAGGGGCATTGAGGTCCCTGCAGGGAGAGAGCTAGGCAAGGCTGGGGCTGCTGCTCAGCCAGGTGGGGCTTGGGGCCTGGGGCTGCAATGCGCAGCTGCAGGGCCCCAGCAGGGAGCAGGACAGGGCCATGGGTGGTTTGTCTAGAAGGGGAGGGCCAGCTCCCTGCTGCTGCATGCATGCAGTCCTGGAGGGTGGGGGAAACCCACGCCCTCAAGATCTGTACCTCGGGCAGGCACAGGTTGCAGGCTCGAGCTCCCCCCATGCTTTCCTCCCCCAGGGTCTCTAACTGGTGGGTGCGATCCAGCATGGCTGGGGACAGTGGGTCCGCACATGGATTCCTTGACTCTGCAAACTCCCCCACCCCCCTCGTCCCCCCCAGCTGCCTTGAAGATGTGCCTCCAGCTCCTGTTGCTACTTTGGGGTGTGCAGCCCCATGCCGCTGCCCTCACTGCAGTCCAGTGCACAGAAGGCGCATCTCCAGGGCAGCAGGGGAGGGGGGTGGTGAGAAGCAGCAAGGAGGCTTTCTCTGCAGCTCCTCTGCTCCCTGACACTCCAGGTCATATGGGGCAGGGGAAGCAGGGTGGCAGGGAACAGTGGTGAGCAGGGGCCTGCTGTTCTCTGCTGCCCTGCTTCCCCACCCCACCCCACCCCACCCACAATGCCCAAGCACAACAGGGAGCTAAGGAGCTGTGTAGAAAACCTTGTTGCTTCTCGACCCCCCGCCCGCTGCCCTGACAGCAGCAGGCACTGGAAGGGCATCACCAGGGCAGTGGAGGGGGGAAGCTTGCACTGGCAAGGAATCCCTGTGTGGCCCCGCTGCCTCCAGCTGTGCCATGTCACTCCCGCTGCCTCCAGAGGCCCCAGGGGAGGGAAGCAGGGTGGGAGCTCAAGCCCACAGCCTTTGCCTGCCCTGGGTACAGATCTGGGGGGCACGGGTCCCCCATGCCCCCCAGGACTGCACATGGCAGTAGGGAACCAGCCCTTGCACTCCCCCAGACAAGCCACCCATGGCCCCATCCTGCTCCCTGCTGGGGCCCTGCAGCTATGCGTTGCGGCCATGGGCCCCAAGCCCCACCTGGCTGGACAGCAGCCTCTGCTTGCACCTGCCCTGGGTACAGATCTTGAGGGTGTGGGTCCCCCCTTCCTCCTGGGAGTGCATGCAGCAGTGGGGGGCTATGGAACCAGGTCCATACCCCTGGCAGCTGAGGGTCCCTCTGGCAGGGTGCAGGGGCTGTGGGTGGGGAGCGAGGGACACCAGCAGGGCCAGGCGGTGGGTTGTGGGGGGGCCTTTAATTTTAATCATGGATTTGGGGGTTTTTAACAGAGAATGGGGGGGGGGGGGGGTTAAAAATGGGGAAAACACGAACACCACCGGGGGGGGGGTCTTAAATCAGGGAAAACCCAGGATCCCTGCTTATTGCATGATAAAAAGTTCCAACCATCTACAATACACATTTTTTAGGTTAACTTTTAACCTTATAGCTGATTGCTATTGAACTTTAATTTGCACATGTAGCAGGGTCTCCCCTGTGGCTGGGAGTCCTATCAGCTGACAGGGCTCCCAGCCACAGGTGTGCACCATGCCGAGTGTGAAACCCCTGGGCCCGGGGGCTGTGGCTGCTGCAGTCCCTATGTCTCAGGGGTGCATGAAGAGCCCTGGGCCCACATGTGCAGCTGGGACTGAGAGTCCTGTATCTAACTTGGGCTCTCAGTCCTGGCTAGCCCATCAGGTGCAGGACTTTTGGTCCAGGCTCTGCGTGTGGTATATTGGGACCAAGAGCCCTGCCCGGTGCAGGAACTCCTGGTCTCAGTTGTGTGTGGACCCTGCAGCTGGAAATCCCCCTCAGGAAAGGAGGATCCTAGCTGTGGGAGCCTGCTTCTTGTTGATGTAGATGGAGCTCAGGATTGGGTTCCTTCTATATCAGCCACGATTGAATCTAATGCTCAATCCCACAACAGCACTTTTGGCCATGCATGTGTATAGGAGGCCTGACACATGCCTTTCCCTGAAAGTTTTTCTTTAATCTACAGGTCATAGTTTATCTAGTGTGAATAGTTATTATTTACTTTGTTTCTATTTCATTCCCCACTCATGGCCTAAGACTCTTGACAGTGGTCTGTGCAATCCAGAAGCCCTTAGGTTCAAACATTGTCCATTCTGGTTACCTAAGATGACTTACCTTGCTGCTTGCCTCACTGAGGATATATCACTAAAATACAGCATTTGCAAATTTTTCACAAAAAGGACTAAAAAAATCCCAGGGATGTCATGTGCTTCCAGGCAATAACATACCCTTTCCCCCTGTGTATAAAATATCTCCATTACAATTCTCATATGAGAGAATGAAGAGGAGGCCCTCTATAAACTCAAATGGTAGCATATGGAGGCAAATGGTCCAAGTGTCTTCCCAACTGTTCAAGAAAGTTCTTCAACTTGGTTGTACTGGCATACCAACACTTAAAGATGTGGTCCATGTTTCTGTTTACACTAAGGACAACTATTCTAAATGTGTAAATATTTTTTTCTTCCATATGGCTGACTGATGTGGAAATGATACCTGGCACAACTTCATATGACTGTATTATGCTATGTAGATATTTTTGAGAATTTTGTTTACTCCTTATGTATCCTTCTGGAAAGACTTAATCTTTTTTTGTTAGAAACTGAAAATTGATTTTGACCATCAATAGTAGTCACTGAGGCATTCAAGCTGACTTTGGAAGTATTGGTTACTACATCTGATAATTGTCAGTAAAATGTAGAAAAATAGGACTGGAAGATATTAACTTTGTCAGTGTCCAGTCTTCTATCAAAGGAAACAGTGTCATACTGTAGTATGAAGTTTTGCATTTAGTTATTATGTTTAAATGATGATAATATTGAATTGATCAACCTCTAGCATTGTATGAACAAAAACTTGATTTTGTGTTTGTTCCCTCCTTGACATGAGTAGACGAACTTCATATGCCCTGTGTACGTGAGTGTCTGTATGAGAGGGTGAATGGTGAAAGAATGGTAACTATTTGCATGAAAACAGGAGATTTAACTGATTGTATAAGCAACAAGGCACCGATGTACAAATTAAGTCACGTTATTAAGCTAATTAATGGATGGCTGAAGAACTCGTCTGCAGTCAAGTTCAAAGAAGACAGTGAGAAGGAGGAATTCTGCGTACCTTGCTTGCCATGTGAACTACGAAATGCGTCAAGGACATAATGCTTCAAGGCAAAAGATACCAACTACACAATGACTGGAATGACCTCATTGAAGATGCACTAGAATGACCTAAAGACTGTTCAGCATTGGGGGTTTTCCATGCTCAAAGACTTGAAATCCCTATGAAAGTGGGATGCAGACAAGCCAAGATGGGGAATCCACTCTCTGCAACCTCATGGAGCACAGGCATGCATGCCTGTGCTTCCCCCAGTTCATATCCTCAATAAGCCTGGACCTGGCCTTCCAGTGCTAATACTGAGTAACATCTGCTGGTAACTATAACACCTTACTGGAGTGATTTTTGTCTGTATGTCTGTCTATTTCTGCTTGTATGTCTGTTTGTATGACTGGTGTGTCCAAGCTTATGTATCTGCTTCATGTAACCAATAAACACGGCATTTTGCCTTATCCCCCTTTTTAAGGTCTTGCTCTTAATTTGAGCTGTTGGCAATTTTAAGTAACAATACAGTCCTTAATAAACTGATCGAGCTCTATCCTATAAGTAGTTAGCTTGTCATCCCTAGTCCTATTGGAAGGCTGTTCCAAAACCTGATTCCTCTAGTGGGTAGGAACCACCCTCTAATCTAAGTTATTTTGTGGTGATCTTATAACCATTAATTCATATGCCAATATTTTCTGTTAGCTTAAATAACTAAATATCACAAAGAAGAACAGCATCCCACTACACTTAGGAATAATCATATCACCAGGGATCCTGGTTTTCTTTGATTTAAAAAAAAAAAAAAAAAAAAAAAAACCCCCTTTTTTGTTTTAAAAAAAAAAAAAAAAAAAATCCCCATTTTTGGTTTAAAAAAAAAAAAATAACCAAAAATCCACATTTTTCCATGATTTAAAATGAAACATCACTAAATCTATACATCCGTGTTTCATTTTAATCCTGGAAAAATGTGGATTGAGGTTACTTTTTTAATCCAAAAATGGGGGATTTTTTTTTTTTTTAAATCTGAGAGAACCAGGATCTCTGTATATCACTTCAGAGTAATAATATCCCTTTTCAGCAAAATAGGCTCTCCCATCCCCTGACTATTCATGTTTCTTTTTTTGCAGATCCATCACAAGCACACCTTAATCTGGCTTCTTTTGGTGTCTGTCTTTGGTCATTGTCCATTGGTCTCCCTTATCACCATTCATTAATATATCCAATCCTTTCATTCCTCTGATTCAGCTGGTTAGTGCCAAGTTCAGTTAACAAGGGCACTGCTATGCTATGTTTAAAAAAAAAAAAAAAAAAAAAAATTCTCACAGTGATAAAGAAGAGATTTAATGAACACCTATGAGCTCTACAGAAGCAACTCAAAGCCAGCTAATGGGAGGGAAAAAAAAAGAAGTTAATAGAGCTATACAAAATGTAAGCAATGATTAAATATGTCTAAATATAAACAATACTATAAGCAGGTGCAACTTCAAAGCATTAAACATAACAAGCTACCCTAACGCTGGTCTACTTTTTTAAATAAGATGTTGAAAATCCGAAGTGGATGCTGAAGATGCCATCTAGTAAGAGATTTAAAATAAAAATATTAGAAATAAGATTAATAGGTGTGTAGGGTGGATTCAGAGGGAATACACTGGTCCTATCCAACCCTTCATTAGACTTCTTCACCCCTACTTTAAAATGAACTGATTGGGAGGGGAAGCAGCATTTCTATTCAGGCAGGGCTGAAGCAGTTCATTGACTTCATGGCTCATCATCATATCTCTGATTCCCGCTAATCTCTCTTACTCCACAGTTGTTAATGATTCTCTGTCCTTTTTAACTATCTTGTTACAAATATGCAAACTATCCTGCTGTAATTTTGCTGTTTGTTAGGAATTCCTGATTAGTGTGTCCCATCTATTTTGCAGCTCTACAAAGTATTTTTTAACTCTAGCTAAATGCCTTAACTCAGGTGTGGTACTTAACCTCAGGTATAGAAATGACTGACAATAAAGTACTGAAGGCACTATCGAGATGCTCAGGAAGGCTATATTTTGTTTTATGAATTTGATTTTTAAAAGTACATTTAACTATACTGACTACAGGACTAATGACACAATATCCAACTACATTTTTTACTACTTTTTGCCTAGTTTGTATTTTTAACATTATATCATTAGCCAATTAGTGCACATTTCAATAGTTATATTAATTTTTGCTTTGATCTTAAAATGGATACTATAGTGCTAACCCCGTAGCAGATTATTGAAGCTTCTTTAACTGAAGAAAAATCTGTGTTAATGTGCCACACCATCTGCAACCCCTTTTTCAGAATCCTAGATCTGCCCATGAATAGGTGACTCATTTATTATGTAGGAGTACTTCTTGTGGGGTACTAAGGTAGCTAAAGGCCTAGATTATAACAAGTTCTTTACCATCGCATAAAATGGCATAATAAGAACTGATGACCAAAAGTTAAAGCCAGGGAAACTCAAATGGGAAATGAACACTAATTTTTGAGAGGGTGGTGAATCACTGGAAGAAACTACCAAAGGGAAAGATAGTGTGTGTGTGTGTGTGTGTGTGTCTCTCTCAATGAATTCAAATAAATACTGGATATCTTTCTGGAAGATATACTTAAGCTACATGTTATTGAGCTGAATACCAAAATAATTAATGAAATTCTACAGTTTGTATTCTATAGAAGGTCAAACTAAATGATTTAATAATCTGGTATGGTCTTAAAAGTTATTAAAATACAAACTATGCAAATACTGGTATATGAAATTTCATATCTACATTGAAAGGAGTATTTGCTCCCAAGCACTTTGCTTGAAAGTGTCAGTCTCGAGGCTACTAATCTAATTCAAAAGATAGACTTTTCGGTCCTCCTGTTAGCTAGTAGAGAATATGTACTTGCAGGCAATTTGTATCATAGTGTCTGGAGTTAACACAAGTGATCTCTCATATGTGCTTTAATAGACTTAACTGTTTGAGAAACATCAATAGATTTATTTGCAAAAAGTAAGACAGAAAAGTGACCTCTGTTTTAACCGAGAGCAGAAACTTAGAGAAATGTAATAGTAAGATTTGTTTCTTTTTGACGAGAGTAAAAATTACAGTTCTTTCCCCTCTGGTGATTATAGCGAAGATTCAACAGGGCATAACAAACATTCTTACTATGTGGGTTGGTCTTCATGGCATTAGTATAAGGATTTATTTAATCCCTTTATAGAACCTTTCATGTCTGTCTCAGACAGCCGGAGCTGACTTGAAGTGATCTAGAAATTGCTCGGTTGTTGGGCGGGCTGGTGAATGGAGAGGCAGACAAAACGTATTGGTTGCAAAAAAGCTTTACTTCCGCTGCTAGTAGCCGCAACGCAGGTGGTCCGATCACTTAAATAATTACATGAGTTGCTCCAGCTGGCAAGACTTAGGCCAGCAAATCCGTAAACGAACTAGGCATGCAGGAAAAAGGGTACGTCGAGGGATGGCGCTTGGCGACGGGGAGAAAAATCGATAGTTGATCAGGCTATCGATTAGCTCAGCCACGAGTCAGGAATCTTCAAAGTCACTCTGCAGCGTGCTCAAAGTTCTCCAACTTGGGTGGAAGTCGCACAGAATTTTATACGGCCAGCAAGCCAATCGCTAGCCGCCATGTAGGAATAATTTAGAACTGGCCAATAGTGGGACACAAATTTGCATACGAATGGCGGGAACTCTCTTGCACCGGAGTTTTCTATTGCAACAGAAAACTTTTGCTGTGCACAGAGACTCTCATGTGGCGGGAAAATTCCACCGTGCCGAGGCACTAAAATCATTGGGTTGTGACAATGTCATCTAACTGTGTAGCCAAATTTTGATTCAGGAATACATAATTTTACCTCATAATTGCCATTATTTCACATTCTTATTGAATAATGGGATAATGACGGTATGATTTGCCTGCTTTGCAGAGATGTAGACTAACTCAGTTCTGTCCAGAATATATGCTTCTGTTCTCAGTGATCCCACCACCTTAGGTTTCTTTAAAGGACTGATTTGATGTCTTTCCACTGGTTGTAGAACTTGTATCAGTGTCTTAGTTCGGTTAAAGGTAATGTATGCAGTGTTCCAGAGAGTACTTTTCATTTTGCTGTGAAAAGGTGGCATTTTTAATTGCAGTAACATCTAGAAAAAAAAGTGTTCATAAGTAATAAACTTAGGCCATTTCTATACTCCCTCCCTGCTAAGCTCTGGACCTAGTCTGATGAACTCCTCCTTTGAGTTACCAAAGTAGTATAGATGGCTTATAAGAATCCTGAGCATTTTCTGTAAGAGAGGTTGAGGATAGCACTAGAGCACATGCTCAGGATTCCTCTAAACCATCTACGCTGTGTAATTGCTGGGCTTGGGCAGCATTGGGAACAAGTGGGAAGGCATTGGGTGGTAGCAGTACTGTCAACAGGGAGGCAGGATGAAGATAGCTTCGAAAATTGACTGATTATGCACCATAGAAAATATGTCCCTGCTCTACATTTTTGCCCAAAGTGGTTTCAGCTAAAAGGTCCAATATTCTTGAGATGTCAAAAAAGGTCTTCAGTTCTAATTTTCAGAGGACTATAATATTGAAGAAGATCCTTAGATTTTTTAATCGATTAGTTTAAAGGAAGTGCTGTGTCCCTGTACTGTCTCTCAGGGTCTTAAAGTCCAACCTGATTGTCTTCTGTGATGAGGTGACTGGCTCTGTGAATGCGGAGAGACTGGCTCATGTGGTGTACCTTGTGTTTGTTTTTTTAAGCAAGGCTTTTGGTACAGTCCTTCTCCCACAACATTCTCGCAGGCAAGCTAAGGAAGTATGATGGATGAATGGATTGTAAGGTGGAAAGAAAATTGGCTGGAGCTTTGGGCTCAGAGTAGTAATCAATGGCTTGTTGTCTAGTTGGCAGCTGGTATCAAGTGCAGTGCCCCAGAGGTCGGTCCTGGGGCCAGTTTTGTTCAATGTCTTCATGAACGATCTGGAAAATGGCATAGAGTGCACCCTCAGCAAGTTTACAGATGACACCAAGCTGGGTGGAGTAGTAGATACATTGGAGGGTAGGGCTGGGATTCAGAGTGACTTAGACAAATTGGAGGATTGGGCCAAAAGGAATCTCATGAGGTTCAACCAAGGACAAGTACAAAGTCCTACACTTAGGACAGAACAATCCCATGCACCAGTACAGGCTGGGGGCTGACTGGCTGGGCAGCAACTCTGCAGAAAATAACCTGGGGGTGACAGTAGACAATAAGCTGAATATGAGCCAGGAGTGTCTCCTTGTTGCCAAGAACGCTAATGGCATCCTGGGCTGCATTAGTAGGTGTGTTGCTAGTAGGGCAAGGGAAGTGATTTCTCCCTCCCACTCTATTCAGCAATGGTGAGGCCACATGTAGAGTCCTGTACCCAGTTTTGCACCCCCCCCCCCCCCCCCGACAGGATGTGGACAAGTTGGAGGGAGTCCAGCAGAGGGTGACAAAAATGGTGAGTGGGTTGGGGAACATGACTTATGAGGAAAGACTGAATGAAATGGGCTATTTAGTCTAGGAAAGGAGAATGAGAGGGGACTTAATAGCAGCCTTCAACTACCTGAAGGGGCATTGAAAAAGAATGGAGCTAGACTGTTGTCAGTGGTGGCAGATGACAGAACAAGGAGCAATGGTCTCAAGTTGCAGCAAGGGAAGTTTAGGTTAGATATTAGGAAAATTTTTTTCACTGGGAGGGTAGTAAAACCCTGGAACAGGTTACCCAGAGAGGTGGTAGAATCTCCATACTTGGAGGTGTTCAAGATCTGGCTAGACAATGCTTTGGCTGGGATAATCTAGTTGGGGATGGTCCTGCTTTGAGCAGGAGGTTAGACTAGATGAGCTCCTGAGGTCCCTTCCAACCCAAACTTTCTAACATTCTGTGATTAAGACTTGTTAAAGGTTAGGTTGGATGAGAGAACTTGAAGGTCTAATGATTCATTCTGGACAGAGAAACTGAGGTAGCATCAGAGGTGACGTTTCTGCTAAGGAGATCTGCAAGGATTTTACCTGGAGATTTGCACTAATGTTTGACTAGCACTGTTCTCTTGACTTTAGATCTCCTGCTTTTTTTGAGAGGGCAGTTCTTCAATCTCTGTTCCATTAGAAATTCTTAAGTCTTTTTGGGATAGAAGAGGGCCTTCTTTAAGAAGAAAGTGAAGTAGTAAATATGGTTTATATTTGTTGCCTCCAAATATTAATCCTGCCTGGCTACTTTTTCATTGGTTCTTGGTTGTAATCCCATAGGACTCCAGGGTTTAGGAGAAGGAACTGAAGTGTTTTAGGGAGTTACACTACTATTGATAGCCTTGGATCTGAATATTCAGTGAAGAGGCATTCATGCATTGCTTTTCTGGAAAGTTCATCAGTGCCAGAGGACAGATTTACAAGTGTGAATGTGAAGAGTCAGCACTCGTACAAAAACAGTTACTATGGTAACACTTTTTAGATATACCACTTTTGTCTCACAATATGTATCCTGCCAAGACTATGATTTTTCAGATTTGTGGTTTATTTGTTTTTTATGTGGGAATTCATATATGCTGCTTCCCCTTTCATATTGTATAACTTGTTGTCTACAAAACTAAGATTATCTTAACCAATATTGCTCTTGCTACAGGAAATAATATCTTTTTTTAAGAACAAGTGAATACTATATACTACATGCGTTATGTTATCACAATTTTTGTGCGAATATGTTATATTTACGTTTTCCATTTGCAATAATTGGCTATCCAATATATTGTTTATGGGGAAATTCTCATGTTTGTTCTTCCCTGTGGCATGCACGCACGCATGCACGTGTGCATATAGTAGTAGCTTATTGAAAACAGTTAGAGATCAGAGAGAAAGTAGGTTGTTGGCCGGTCCAAGGGTAATTGCACCATAGGTGAACTGTGTACCTCAGCGCCCAAAAGGTAGGAGTCACGATTCTAGTGGTCTTTCCTCTGAGATCTTTTCAGAGGTCTTTCTCCCGTTACTGAAACAAAGGTCTTGGCTTAAGGTAGAGCCATAGCCAGCCAGGGCTGTTATTTATAATGATGTTCCTGTTTCATTCTGCATATAATTTTGGCGCCTCCCAAATTTTGGTGCCCTAAGCCAGTGTTTCTCAACCTTTTCAGTAGCAAGTACCCCCTAACTTCTGAAAATTTTAATAAATACCCCAACACTCAATTTTCCAGGGGATTTTATATTTACAGACTAATGTGTGCCATATGTTGGAAGAATGGCTGCGTATATAAGGCTGTGATATGACAGATGTCTGATCTGCTGTGGGTAGGGATGCTACCTTTTACACCAGCGGTGCTCAAGAACGTACCTGGGCTAGAGGTGATGTTGGCTAAAGCTAGGAGGGCTGAACCCAGTGTCGCGCAAAGCGTGGCACACCAAATTATTGTTGGGGAATTTAAAGTGCTGCGCAGTGCAGGGCGTGCCAAATTTTTTGCCATAGTTTTGAGAGGAGGAAAGGGTAAGAGAGAGAGAGGAGAAGAGGGTGAGAGAGAGAGTGAGGCAGGGAAGGGGGAGAGTGAAGAGAGGGGACAAGTAGCAACCATAATTGTGGAGCAGGCAGGTGGTGTCAGCTGCTTCTGGGGCCGCTGCAGCAGGGGTTGGGGTGATGGGGAGAAGCAGAGGCCACAGCGTGGTGAGGTAAGTCTGTAGAACAGGGGTTGGCAACCCCTGGGGCATGTGTGCCCCTGCTACAGCAGCCCCGGAAGCAGCCGACACCACCTGCCTGCACCACAATTAAGGTTGCTACCTGTCTTCTCTCTCTCCCTGCTTCCCTCTCTCTCTTCACCCTCCACCCCCCCATCTCACTCTCGCTCTCTCTCTCTTGCCCTATATCTTTGTCTGTCTGTCTCTCTCACCCCTTTCTCCTCTCAAAAGTATGGCAAAAAATTTGAAGATCCATTTGCAACAGAACAAAGCTAAGCAGAGTGCAGCGACCAGATAGACCTATAAGGTCCCAGTGAAAGCCATTCCTGGGGGCCTGGCACAGAACTACTCCCCACAGTCTGTTCCCAGGGCTTTGTCCTGTTGCAACTAACTCACATGTGAGGGCACTGAGCACTTCCCAGGGGAGACTGGCCTACAGTCTACTTGAGATGCAGAGTGTGGCCTCATTTTAGCTCCAAGAGCTCTTTGGGAGCTGTGGGGGATATTGTTTCCAAGCCCACAGCAAAGCCCCAGCTGACCCAGCAGCCCTCCATTCCCAGATCAAGGCATGAAACTAACCAGGCAATCAGGTTTTCCATCATGCTCGCTGTGCCCAGCCCGGCACAAGCCTGGAAATGGTTTCCAATGCACTGATTAGCCTTCGCTGCAAAGCTTACAAATATTTCGGGCCTTAGTAACGCAATAAGGAGCAGAAACACTAATCAGCAAATTAGGAGGATGTTCACACTATGCTAATGAGTATGGCACGCGAGGCCATTTTGCTTGGCACTCCACTGCCAGCCATGGAGCCTGGGTTGTTCCCAGCAGGCAGCTGGGAGGCTGCAAGCCCAGCTGCAAGCAGCCCGGGCTCTGTG